GGACAGTTTTTGGCCGGTTTTTTTGGCTGTTTTCAGGCCGTTTTTCGAGCCATACTGAGGCCAAAAAAACAGTGCAAAAACCAGGTTGAAAAACAGTCTGTTTTTCGGGCCGTTTCCCGGCACTCAGGTGCCCGTGAAGGCCAACTGGCCACGCCAGAAACTGGAAGAGCAGCTGGCGACGGCACACGTGCTCATACAAAGGACTCTGCGTGCCACCTGCGTGCCGTAGTTTTGTCATCACAGCCCCAGAAGAACCGAAGGCATTGAACCCCCATTTGTCTGAAGCAGTGTAAGCAGGGTGGGGGGATGGACTAGAAGACCTCAAAGGTCCCTTCCAACTCCCGTTATTCTTACTACAGGGGTCCTGTCATCAGGAGCCATCATCCCACCCACCCCATCCCGGGCTTTGCAGTGACAATGATGGCTAAGCCATCCTGAATGAGATGGCTTGTCGCTCCCCGGCTGAGTTACTGCAAAGAAAGTCTCCTTTTTTTGGGGGGGGGGGGAGAGGGATTTCTAGGCTGTTCTTTGCATCCCAGACCCACTTGGGTTGGTTGGCCTGCCGAGGGACCCCCTTCTGGGCTTCGTCAGGACGCGATTGGACTCTTGGCACCGCCTGCAGAGACTGTGATTCGAGCCTGGACAGAGAGCGTGGACAGAGAGCAAGAAGCAAGAGCAGCGGGATAAAGCAGGATATAGACTTATATCCCGCTTTACAGCCCTTTCTAAGCGTTTAAGAGTCAGCCTCTTGCGGGGGGCCCCTCCCCCAAACAATCTGGATCCTCATTTGACCGACCTCGGAAGGATGGAAGGCTGAGTCAACCTCTCCAGCCTGGTGAGATTCGAACTGCCAAATTGCAAGCAGCCGGCAGCCTGCAGTACCGCCCTCTCACCACTGCGCCGCCACCAGCAGATGGCGGAGAATGGGCTGTGACGTCGTGGCAGGGCGCCATGAGAGGGAGGGGGGAGAGGGAGGGCCAGCGAGGGATCCAACACACACGAAGAATCAGCCAACATGCGCCCCTCGGAGCCACTGAGAACAGCTGGGACGTTTCCCATAGGGGAGCAGAAACGAAGGGGAGGGTCCCATCTCACTCCCATCCTGCCCCCTCCCCCTAATCTCCATGCAGTCACGCCACCCGGGATGCACTGGGGGGTCCCCTCCCCCCGCTTCGGTGCCTCCCCTCCCCGGCTCACCTGCGTACGAACTTGGAGGTGAACTTGCTGAAGAGGCTGCCCGACGCCCCTCTCCGCCCTTGGCTGTTGCCCGAAGGCGAGGCGGGCGTCAGGCCGTAGGAGAGGTTCTGTTGGTCCCGGACCGGCCGGAGCTGCCCAGCGTGGAAAGTGCTGCGGCTCTGGATGCCCCGCGGGAAGTTGGTGCGCTCGGGGAGGGCACTGCTGATGTTGTGGGCGGAAGGGGAGGCCACGGGAGCCCGCTGGGGGGCCGTGCTGTGGGGAAGGAGAAGGAGGAGGTCAATCAGGGGAGGCCAGACCGGGAGACCCTCCACCCCTCTGCCTTGGGAGGTGTGGGCTGAGAAGAGAGAGAGAGAGAAGCCACGTTCTAACTAGGAATGCTGGTTTGGGATCCCTGGGGAGGGCGTGAGTAGAGAGCAGATCTGTTGGGTTGGACTTGGAGGCCATTTTTAGGTAGCATCTGGGGGCTCTGAAGTTGGAGGAGGCTGAATCACTTAACGACCGAGGCCGAAAAGATGGTGAAATCAGGAGTGGCCCCGTGCCGTTTCGCTTAACACCACCACCGCTTTGTGATTCGGGTTCACAAGTAAAAGATTACCTATCAGAACTGATTTGCTTCGTCCCGGGCATAGAGTCATGGGGAAGCAAACCCACTTGGAATCAGCCAAACTGTCCTGGTCCCAAACAAGCCAGGATCGCAAGCTAATCGGAACCCTGTGACCCAGGGCTCTGAAGCGTTTGAGGGCACTCGAGGAAGGATGCCATGAAACCATGTTGCCCCCTTCCAGCCTGTAGGCCAAGCGATCTTCGATGCTCTTAAGAAGAAGCCCGCCGTTCATGACGGACTTCCACAAACCAAGATTCCTGGCTTGATGTGAGAATCCAGGGCTGTTGTTTTCAAAAGTCTGCCAGCAGGTAGAAATGAGCATCTATAGGCAGAAGGGGAAGGCAGCCCTCATTCTGCAGGAGGGGCGGGCACCGAAGGGAAACCCCACGACTGCCCCACAGGAGAAGAAGGGCTGCCTTCCACAGCTGCTGTTAAAGGAAGACCCTCTAAAAAATAGGGGGAACATTCTGTATCCCTTGTGACTCTGCCTGATGCGATGTGGTACCCAGAAGCAGGGCTCTGTCTGGGGTGTGTGTGTCCCCCTCCCAGGTTTCAGGGCAGGACTCCCCAAACCTCTCCGTTGTTCTGCCCCGCATCCCCTCTAGGCAGCTCCCGTGTTGGGGGGGGGGGGTGTCATAGATCTGGCGCCAGGACAGGACGCAGAACAATGAAGCCGAGGGGGGCAGCTGGAGAGACCTGGAGGGAGGGAAGCAGGAGTCAGGGAAGGAAAGACCCCCAGGGGTACGCAGCTGCCCACTTGCCTAGGTCGCTGGGCCTCGCAGTGATTGTCGGTGGGGGGCAGCGTGGGCTTGGAGGGGTGCACCGAGGCGGACATGGATTTCTGGTGCTGTCGCGGGCGCGCAGAGCTCACGGCGGCGGAAGCGGAGGCGGTAGAGGCCCTGGAGCCCGGAGTGGTTAGGCTGGGGGGGAGGGGGAGAAAAAATAAAATCAAGCCAGGGAGAGAAAAGCAAGGAGAGAAAATGGGGTGGGGGAAATCGGGGGTGAAGCAGGTTGGCGGATGAAATCTGCGGAAGGCCCCCACCAACCCGCCCCAGACTATCCGGGGATGTTGCCCACCTGCAGCTGGTCATCGTTGGGGGTATGCCTTTCCTCTCCTCTCCTCCCTTCCCTTCTTCTTTTACCTTCCTCTCCCCTCCTTTCCCCTTATCTTTTCTTTCTCTTCCCTTATTCCTTCCCCTTTTCTTTTGTTTCCCTTCCCTGATTTCTGTACCTTTTTCTTCCTTCTTTCCTTTCTTCTATCTTCCTTCCCTTCTTCTTTTACCTTCCTCTCCCCTCCTTTCCCCTTATCTTTTCTTTCTCTTCCCCTTTTCCGTAATGTTTCCCTTCCCTGATTTCTGTACATTTGTCTTCCTTCTTTCCTTTCTTCTATCTTCCTTCCCTTCTTCTTTTACCTTCCTCTCCTCTGCCCTTGTCCCTTATCTTTTCTTTCTCTTCCCCTTTTCCTTAATGTTTCCCTTCCCTGGTTTCTGCACATTTCTCTTCCTTCCTTCCCTTTCCTTCTTTCCTTTCTTCTATCTTCCTTTCCTTTCTCTTTCCACCAATCTTTTCTTCCCTCCCTCTCCCTCCTTTTCATCCTTCCCATTCCTTCATCAGCTAAAGGCGAGGGGTGGTGGTGGAGGTCCCCTCAACCAACCCTGCCACGCCAACAGACAGAGCGCCAGGGGCATTGTGGGGAAAGCAAATATACAATACACAACCCAGTATATATGTATATGGGGCAAGCACATACCATTCACCCCCCAGATGCAACCGGAGAAGGAGATGGAGGCGAATGGAGGCTCTCTGGAGTGGGGTGGAGTGGGGTAGCGAGGATGATGATGGGTGGGTGTATTAATTGTTTGAAGCTTTGAAGGAACCAGGGGGTTGGGTCGAAAGAAAAACAGGCATGCAAATGTGTGTTTGTGTGTGTGTGAATGTGTGAAGGTCAGGGGAATGAAGGGATGAGGGTTGCTCCTTGCTAGCTAAGGAAAAAGTTTCCCAAGAGTGTGGGAAAGGACTTTCGGCCAGGAATTCAGGGGAGAGGGGCAGCCTGCAGGGGAAGTAAAGGAAGCCCCCCCCCCTGCTCTCTCACCAAATGGAGATAACAGGAGGTGTCATCCTTACCCCCCCTCCCTTTATCAGTCCAGGGTAGCATCAATGGATGCTTTGAAGCGAAGCGCCGGGGTGGGGAGGGGCATGGGGGCAAGGTGGGGGTCTTTTTAGCAACCCTTCTGCACCTCCAAGAGGTATCCCTTCCACAGGGGTCCTTCCTGTCTGGAGGGGTGATTTGCAAGGCTGGGTCCAGGCCATACGTGGGACTTTTAAATGTGGGTCGATTTAGATCCAACTCTAGTTTTCAAAAGGGGTTGAAGCGCTTTAGAGAAGGAGAGGGGAGGGGGAACCTATGTGCCAATATCTACATTTACATCTATCTATCCTCTATATCTGTCTTTCTGTCTATTACCTATTATCTATCTATCTATCTATCTATCTATCTATCTATCTATCTATCTATCTATCTATCTATCTATCTATC